GGTATCATCAAAGCGGCTGACGGTACCTACAGGTATACCGATGACGGTCCTGTCCATCACGCGTATCCAATGCCTGAAGGGGGTCTTACAAGTGAGTTTCTCTATACAACCATGATGAACCAGCATCGAGAGTCAATGAATATGCATAGAGAGACCTCCCGAGCCATTGCCTCCCTCAGAAACCTCATTCTTAACTCTCCACATTCCAACACCCGAGTTGTGGACGAAGAGATTGAAGAAGAGGATGATAGTGAAGAAGAAGAAGATGATGATGTGGATATGCCTGATGAGGATCTTTAGAGAATATGTTGTTGTTGATGTCCTTTATTGCATTGTTTTCTAGTTTTTGATGTTTTATGCTTTCATTTATGTTTGAACTCTGTTTTTATTTGGCATTGTAACTCGTACAATATTCGCAGTATTGTTGTCTTTTAATTTCAGTATGCTTTGCTTCCATATTCTTGTGATTGCTTGCATTATTGTTCTATCTAGTTTTCTTTCTTGAAAGCTCCTTCCTTTTTGCTTATGATAAAGGGGGAGAAGAGCTTTGCCTTTCTTATGTCTATGTGTGCAGAATTTTTGCCTATGTATTCGATAGGGGGAGTTCATGGACATAGGGGGAGAAAACAAGATCACTGCTAATCATCGTCAAAAATTGTACAAGATCATTTTGGTTGTCATCATCAAAAAGGGGGAGACTGTAGAAGCAAGCTTCATCTCAAAGTTTTGATGACGTCAACATCAAGATCAAGAATAATTCATCTGTGCAAAAAGGCAAACGCTTTCAAAAGACCAAGATCAAGTGGAATAGAAGTGATCAACATTCAAAGCTTCATGAACATCTGACTGATCAACTTTCAAGTTTTGGACACAAGCTATGGTATATCAAAATCCATTAATTTAATTGATATACAAGTGTTCAACATCTTTATCATTTGATCACATTGCATTAGCATGCTTTTTAAACTATTAGAATTGGTATAACACTATTTTTATAAGCATTTTTCTGAAAAATAGCAGTGTTAACCGATTAACCATATATGTTAACCGGTTAACCATTTCAAATTTTGAATATTTTGGTATAACGTTCAAGTGTTAACCGATTAACCATATAGGTTAACCGATTAACACTGAACGTATTTTGAAAAATGGCTTTGTTTCAAGTTCAAAAATGGTTTGAAAATTATACCAGTTCATATTTTGAATTATACTCAAATATACCTGTTGGAAAAGGTGTGTTTACACATATAAATTCTGAGTTTTTCAAATTGGAAAAATAACCTCCAATAATCAATTTCAAAACAATTCTTTGAATCAAATTCACCACTTTTCAAATACTTTTCAAATTTTTCAAAAGTGTTCATATTGATCATATCTTTCATATGCATAACATTGAACACTTGTGTTGAAATTAAATGAGTGAGTTTTGATCAGAAGGAGAAGATCAATCTCAGTATTGATATTACCACTATTACTCTCAAATCAAAGTATTCAGATTACTTGTATTTTGACTTGTGATCCAGGATTGTTGGACACAAGGGTGAGTGTTTACAAGAGGATTGTTCTTGTACACTTGTTGATTTTTATTATTTGATAGTAGGCCTCGCCGGTTGATGGTGTGATAGGTTGTACTTTATTAAACAATAGTGAAAACTCTCTTTCGTGTTGAAAGGGGAGTGGAGTACTCTCGGATTGTGAGGGGAACAACTATAAATCTTGGTGTCCACTTTCTTTTTACTTTCTACTGCATTCATCACCAAGAACCTAACCAGTAAAATTTCAAGAATACCGAAAAAGCAGAAAAATTCCCTAAAAGCCTAATTCACCCCCCCCCCTCTTAGGCATACTCTGTACTTACAATTAACAGGTTACCCACACCTTTATTGAATCTCAAATGTCCATATGAGCTTTTACATGAAAAACCTCCCATTTTAATTCACTCTAAATTCTTTGGTTGTTTAAGCTTTGCATCTACTTTACAGACTCATAGAACTAAATTTGAACCTATAGCTATAAAGGCTGTTTTCCTTGGATTTAAGGAAGGAACTAAAGGGTATATACTATATGATTTACAAAATCACAACCTTTTTGTTTATAGACATGTGATATTCTATGAACCACACTTTCCTTTTAAACCTCATATATCACCCTCAAATACAAAACCTGATGTGTCGTCCTCAAATACACAACATGACCCTACTAATTATGTCCTATATGATGACCCTAATGAATCACATCCACCTTTACAGCCTGGTGTTGCTACTTCTCCTTCTCTTGATATTCAGTCTCTCATTGATAATACTAGCCCAACCTTACAACCTAGTGTAGTTACTTCTCTTTCTAGCCAAATCACCCCATCCATCACTTCTCATAGCAATCCTAAACCTACATTGGACACTTTTTTGTCTAGTCTTGTACCTCACATAAATACCAGTCCTATTCCAATCAGTATTCCCTTTAGTCACCATCCTACATCTTTATCTTAATCCAATAGACAGTCACAAGTCACTATAGATGGACCTGCCCATCCTACTACACCTTTACTTGATAACAATCTATTTGCTCCTCCTTTGATACAATCTACCTGTGTTACACATCATCCTAGTTATTTAGCAGATAATCACTGCTTCAATATCACACACAATCCTTCATCAACCAAAACCAAAAATCCTAATGTTGCTTACCCTCTATCATATGTCATTTCTTATGACAATTATTATCCATCTTACAAACACTATTGTTATGCCATTTCATCCCATAATGAACCAAAAACCTTTAACCAAGCCATTAAACATGACTGCTAGAAAAAGGCCATGGATGTTGAACTACTTACTCTTGCAGAAAACCATACTTGGGATGTGGTTGATCTACCTCATAGCAAAACTCCTATTGGATGAAGATGGGCTTATAAAATTAAACACAAGGCAGATGGATCCATAGAGAGATACAAATCTAGGTTGGTGGCAAGGGGTTATACACAAATGGAGGGTATTGACTATTTTGATACCTTTTCACCTGTTGCCAAAATTATCATAGTTCGTGTTCTCTTATCTCTAGTAGCTATTAAGGGGTGGTACTTTGAGCAGTTAGATGTTAACAATGCATTCCTCCATGGTGACTTACATGAAGAGGTATACATGACTCATCCTCCAAGTCTATTAGGCTTTAGTGAATCCAAGGTGTGTAGGTTACAAAAATCTCTTTATGGCCTTAAACAAGCCAGTAGACAATGGTATTCAAAGTTATCTTCATTCCTTATATTTCTTGGTTATAAGCATTCTCAAGCTGACCATTCTTTATATGTTAAACACGTCAATCATGAATTTACTGCATTATTGGTATATGTAGATGATGTTGTTTTGACATATAATTCCATACTTTAGATTCATAAATTTAAACACCTTTTGGATTAACAGTTGAAAATCAAAGACCTTGGTCAGTTGAGATTCTTCTTAGGATTTGAAATTGTCAGATCTCAACCTGATATCTTTCTTAATCAAAGAAAATACACACTTGAACTATTAGAGGATGCTGGTCTCCTTGCAGCAAAACCATATACAGTGCCCTTTAATCCCACTACCAAGTTGTCCATTGATGAAGGTCCTCTTTTGGAAGACCCTTCTTCATATCGAAGACTATTTGACAGATTGGTCCACCTCACTAATTTAAGACCAAACATCTCCTTTGCAGTGCAACACTTGAGTCAATATGTATCTCAACCACGTATGCCTCATTACCAAGTGGCAATACATGTTCTCAGGTACCTAAAATTTGTCCCTACTACACACGTCATTTTTTCCTCTTCTAGCAAGCTCCAACTTTTTGGATTTGTTGACTCGGATTGGACTAAGTGCCCTGATACCAAAAAGTTTGTCACTGATTTTTGTGTCATGTTGCGTTCATCTTGCTACCTATTTCATCTCATGACCAACTTTCTGACATGTTCGCCAAACCTTTACATTCTCCATCTTTGAAGACCAATTTAAGCAAGTTGGATCTTTGTAGCATCCAATGCCCAATTTAAGGGGGGGATATTAGCGTGTGTGTGTGTGTGTATTAGCCTGTAGTCTTATGCCATGTGTATGTATTTTACCTTCATAATAGTCACACATTGCTTTGTATGTTATATGATACTTATATCCATTTTGGATATTGTGAACGTAAGCAGAATATAAGAGTTGCTACTCATTACTGTTATAACTGTTTTGTAAGAAACTTTTGTTTCTTTCTCTTCTTCTTTAATGGATATTGAGTTCTTCTTATATTATTTTTCAAATTACTTTTTGATTATCGCAACATTGATAATTTTGTTTTTCTAATGTGAAATGCAAACAAGTTTTTAATTGGTATGGGTGGAATTTATCCCTCAAATTAACGCGTCTTTGACCGGAAAATAATAATTAAAATGTAAAAGCACTTGGAACAGAAGCATCGTTTCCATTTTGGCGAGTTATTTATGAATATTAATTGAAATTTGGTAAAACGAAGTCAGCTTTCTCATCTCTCAGATCTAAATGCGCTGTGGTAACATTTCTCTTACTTTTGTTTCTTGCATTCTTTTTTTTCCTTCTCTGTTTCTTAAATTACTTTCAACTAACCTTTTCTATCGTATGCTTCATCCTCTTAACAACTCGCTGTTTAATTAGTCTAATTATTTGCTTGCGGTTTTAAAATAATTATTCTTTTAGTCGTCCAGCAAGTAAAGTTAATTTCCTTTTGTTTCCACTTTATTTAATCTGTTTTTCCTAATATTCTAGTTAAAGATTTGGATTATTGTATTTTATGTTGCCATAGATACAATACATGATGTCTAGAGCTGATTTTCATTGAAATACACACTTTTTATAATTTAATATCATTTGATCTTATTCCATTTCTTCTAAACAACTTTCATTACGTTTAGCTTGATGTTTGGTTCGTATCAATTTTGTATTTCAGGTGGAGTGGAGGCATCAAACTTAAACTTTCCCTAATCTAATTGCGGTCTTGCAACTATCAGTATGGACAAGTATTATGTTTCTACTAGAATGTGAGAAAATCAGATTTTGATATTTTAACACACTTATGCATGCAATATCAACTAGCATTAATTTATAATTCATGTGTTATTATTCCTTTACCTTAATACTCCCTCTTTTATCTATTATAAGATTTATTTTATAATTCATGGGTTATTATTTCATACCTTAATACTCACTCTTTTCTCTATTATAAGATTTATGGTTGGAATTTCCGCACGGTCCTCCCTTAGCCGTCTAAATTGGAGCATTTGATTTATCTTTGTTCAATTTTCAACACCCTTTTTGTGTTGGATTTGAAAAGGGTGAGTCAGTCTCACATTCTTGAAAAATCATCATCTTATATAGTATGCCCTTTTTCCCATTAAACAAAAGAATGAGCTGATTCTTTTTTTTGTTACAAATTTCAAAATTTAACACAAACACATTTCACTCCGTCATTGCTTCCATTTCTCTTTTTATAAAATAATAGTGCTGTAACTTTTGTGCCATTATGTTAATTGGGGTTTGGGATGAGTTTTACAGAGCTGGTTTGGAGAACAGTAATTCTTCCAAAGTTGATGATAAGGTTAAGAAACAGATTATGGATGCACTACTGGTGAGAGACCAAGGAGAAAATATAATCGGATTATGCGGGCCAGATAAAAGAGTTGAGGATTCTGTAAAAACAGTTATAAGAAGAGCTGAGAGAGATCAATTGTTCCAAAAGATTGTTACAGCAATTGTGACTAAGAAACCAGACATTAGAAATATTCAAATGCAAATTGGTGATGACATAGATCTCAATTTTGACGATAAGATGAATCTAACTGAATCAACTTTCTGCATGTGTTTTGGTAATAATAAAAGAATGGCAACTGCTGAAAGGGCTAGTCTTCTGTGTGCTAAGATGAAGGAGCTGCAAACAGTCCTAGTTGTAATGTATGATCTTCATGGCAGACTCGATTTAGGTGAGATCGGTATTCCCTTTGGTGAAGATCATAATGGTTGCAAGATATTGCTGTCATCTAGAAATTTGGAGGTTTTATCCGAAGAAATGAAGGTTCATAAATTGATACAATTATCAGAGACATGACATGATTATTTTGTAACGAAGCTAAATCACCATATTAATATTGCCTGTTATTTTTCTATTTTAAAACTATATAGATTTTCGTTGTATTATGGGACAAACATTTCCCTGAGATTTTAAAATAAGAGGGGCATTTATATCCCATCATTTAGGTTATTTGTTTTAAGGCTTAATTCTATTGCGCATAAGTACTTGAGTAAAACAGTGTTGCAGACCATACAGTTCTTTTTCTTTCAATCTTTTTACTATTGGATCAATAAGTTCTATTATATCTCATGCTATGCAATGTTGTGTCTTATTGATCTAATAGTGAAAACAAATTGTACATGGTTAATATCATCAAATTTAAATTTTTTTAGTTTTAAGTTCATAAGAGTAAATTGAATGAGATTTTCTTATATGAAGAAGTCAATAGTTTGAAGGTTTTCGAAAAGATTTGTTCCACATAAGTTGTAATTCAAATAGTAGAAAATTTCCGTTGATTTTGACTTCCAATCTGCAGAGAAAAATAAATTTTCTCAGATAAAAATAATGATTCTCAAGACACTCCTAAAAAGCTTGTACAAATTTGATTCAATCTATTGACACCCAATGACAGAACAAAAAAAAATACACTATCAAGTTCACCATGAGCTACAACAGTAACAACATGTCACGACATCTTGTCTGACATTACACTCTCATAGAGGCATACAATCACAAACTGCTTGAAACCCAAACAATCTTGATAAGAAGCTACACTATTGCAGCAATAGATCCTAGACAGAAGTCCAACTCCCCCTATCAAGGATAACTAGTGCTCCTTTGCAAGAAGAACACCTTAAAGTGAATGGAAAATATAAGACTCATCTTCATGTCTTCAAGAGCTCACTTCTTGTTCAACACACCTGCTGAACGCATTCACTCACTGCTTGATCCACAAGCAATCTATGTACCACAATAGTACACTTAACAAACAGAGTTTCTCCCCTATCTTTCATAAACGATGCTTCTTCCAACAAGAAACACCCAAAAATCACCACATGTTATCACATGACCAACTTAATGCTCATATAGTTGTCGCAACTGCGAAAAAGGGGCCGACGAAAAAGGGGTCGGCGAAAAAAAACAGAAGAGTCGCCACCAAACGCTATTTATCTCAAAGGAGGGAAATGAAACGATCAAAGAAAACCTAAAAGAAAGGAGAAGACAAGGTCATTGTAACACCCCAAATTTCATTGGAATATTTATTTAATTTATTTAAATAAGAATATTCACATTTTGGTAATTTTCGGGGATTGTTGTGGAATATTGAGAATTATAAGTTTTTAGGTTATTTATTTAAATAATAGTATATAATATGAATATATTAGTATTATTATTATTTTAAATAAATATAAGTCAACCAAGGGAAAATTGGACAATTAAGAGGAGTTAGTGAGGGTAATATTGGAAAAACTCAATTTTGAGGCCTAAGGTTAGGTTTAACAAAAAGGAATTGTGATGGGATTAAGATTCATTTTGTTAGACCGTGAAAAGAATTGAGGCCAGAGCTCTGAGGAAGAAGAATTGAGGCAAAAGTTTCGAAAGGTTTTCTGAAAGATTTGAGAAGGCTTAGAGTCGACAATTAAGGTATGAGGAGTATTATCTTCATTGTTTTCAATGTATAATTTCAATGTATTTAAGGTCGATTTAAGGGTTTAAGGATTTGAGGCTGATTATGAGAAAAAGGGAATTTGGCCTTCGTGGTCTAAACCTATTATTGAGATTTTAACCGTAGGGATTTATTTTGAGAAAAAGGAAAATTAGGCCTTCGTGGCCAAAACTCTTATTTGACATTTGCCTAACCCTGTAGGGATATTAGATAGTGAGTAATTCTAATGAGTATGGTGTAATTGAAAGGAAATTTGGGAATTATGGCGTGAATATGATACGGGATTGGCCAAATAAACCGTAGGTTTTGTGCCTTTATCGCCGTAAGACCTTAGGCATGATTTAGGGATGTTTTGGGGGGATTGGAGAAGTGAATCGTGTTGACTTTTGGGTTGATTTAGGTTCTGGTGCGTAACACCATTTTACTGTCATCGCGTTGTTCGCAAAGCGAAAAATCCTTCGCACAACGAACTATTTCGTCCCAGACTCGCACTGCGAAGAATCCTTCGCACAACGAAGAAACTCGCCCCATACTCGCACAGCGAACTTGCTAGCGAATGTAGCAGAGTTTCGCGAATTCTGATTCTGTGCAGCGATGCCTTGATGTTTTGATGTTGTGATTTCTTTGACGAATTAACATGAGTATGACTATGAATTCTATGTGATGTATATATGATTATATGATGATTTCTATGATGTAATGATTGGAGAACTATGATGATATTACCATGAGTTTTGATGAATTCTATGATGACATGATATATGATGATGATTGTGATGATGATGATTATGATGAATGATGATGTACCTATGATGTTATTATGATGACATGATATGTGATGATGATTATGATGAATGATGATGCACCTATTGACGTGTGCATCATCATTCATGTGCATCCGGACTTCGGTTCAGGACCTTGATTACTTTGGCTTCAATCCCATTGTATGGATGTGAGGTATTTTGATGTGCTCCGGTTCTCGAGTAGAATCGATCCTATTAATGGGGATCTATGGAGGGTTGATGGCCCAATGTCCATCGAGCTGTGATGATTGGTACCACATGCATTGAGTCTTGTTGCATTTGCATTTATGAGATAATTTGGTGTAATTTATGATGGTGTGGCCTTTGATGTCCATTGATGAATATGATGATGTTGAATATGAAAATGACGCCATTTTGTATATTGAAGTGTATGTTGATGACATGATTGCAAAGTCACAGACGAAGGAAAAGCATCTGGTTAATCTTTTGAAGTTGTTTGAAAGGTTGAGGAAATTCAGATTGAGGTTGAATCCGAACAAGTGCACTTTGGGTGTAAGGTCAGGAAAGTTATTGGGGTTCATTGTCAGTGAAAAAGGAATCGAGGTAGATCCTGCAAAGATAAAAGCAATACAAGAAATGCCAGCGCCCCAAAACAGAAAAAGAGGTTCGTGGTTTTCTAGGTAGATTGAACTACATTGCAAGGTTCATATCTCACCTTACAGCCACCTGTGAATCATTGTTCAAGGTGTTAAAGAAAGATCAGGCGGTTGTCTAGAATGAAAATTTCCAAAGGGCATTTGAAAAGATAAAAGAATATTTGCAGGAGCCTCCGATACTGATGCCTCCAGTGGCAGGAAGACCTTTGATAATGTATTTGACGGTTCTTTAGAATTCCATGGGTTGTATTCTCGGTCAACATGACGAGACAGGCAAAAAAGAACATGCTATCTATTACTTGAGTAAGAAGTTCACAGATTGTGAGTCCAAATACTCAGTGCTAGAGAAGACGTGTTGTGCACTCGCTTAGGCAGCCAAACGCCTAAGAAAGTACATATTGAATCACACAACCATGTTGATTTCAAAGATGGATCCGATCAAATATGTGTTCGAGAAGCAAGCGCTTTCGGGAAGAATTGCTATATGGAAGATGGTTCTGACAGAATACGATATTTAATACGTCTCCCAAAAAGCCATTAAGGGGAGTGTTTTGTCAGAATATTTCGCAGAGCAGCCAATTGATGATTATCAACCAATGAAATTTGAGTTTCCTGATGAGGACATAATGTTTCTGAAGATGAAGGATTGTGATGAGCCACTACCAGACGAAGGTCCTGAGATAGGCTCCCAGTGGAAGATGATTTTTTACGGTGCTGTTAACTCTTATGGCAGCGGAATTGGGGAAATCATCACAACTCCCCACGGTTCCCACACACCGTTCACCGCCAGGTTAACGTTTTCCTGCACCAACAACAAAGCTGAGTATGAAGCATGCATCATGGGTATTGAAGCAGCAATCGATTTGAGAATCAAGAACCTTGATGTGTATGGTGATTCATCTTTGATTGTCAATCCGATTAAAGGAGAGAGGGAGACTCGTCAGCCCAACCTGGTACCTTACATGAATTATACGAGAAGGTTGTTACCTTTCTTCGATAGAGTAGAGTTTCATCATGTGCCAAGAGCCGAGAATCAGATGGCATATGCTTTGGCAACTTTATCTTCGATGTACAAGGTGAATTATTGGAACGATGCTCCAAGAATCATCATCTCGCGCCTCGATAGGTCGACTTTCATAAATTGATACAATTATCAGAGACATGACATGATTATTTTCCAAAAATCAGAGATGACGGAAATTTGAAGTACAAAGATGCACATCATTTGAAAAACACCATGGTTGAGTTTGAGTTGAGAGATTCTTGACAAATGCTTTATATGTTTTTGTTTTCTGTCATATGCTTGTGTTTGTAATCTAAGATATGGTCAGTTCTGTTTGTAGGAACTGCCCTGATGTTACTATCACCATATTATCATAGGCAGTCGAGCATATGATAATGTGGAAGTCGAGATTGCCTTATTAGTTTAAGGTTATAGATTTTCATTCTGTTAAAGGACAGACATCGTTTAAAATTTTAAAACGAGAGTGTTGTAAATGTGTCTTAAAACCTTTGTTGATGAAGAGAAAAAGTAGATATTTTGGAGATTGTATTTACTTTAAAAATCGAATGTTTTAGAAAGTCAAACAAAAAGTCAAAAAAGAAAAAAAGATCGGACGGTGAATAGTATTGTCCGTGCGGTGAATAATGTTTCGAGTTTTCAGACTTTTTCGATTCGGTCCATGGATCCATTTGATTTTGGACTTTGTTTGTTGGGTATTTGCTATTATAAATATGTATATCTTATATGTTTGATGTGTGACAATCTTAGAGTTTTCACCAACAAGGGAGACCAAGGATTTAAAGGTATAACATAGGGTTTCAGCTATGCACAAAGAAAACCTTGGGCACCTTCAGTGTTGTTCTTAAGAATCTGAAACCGAAGATTATTTTCTTATAACTCATCTGTAATCTCTTGTAACAACTTTCTGAGTATAGTGAATTGGAGAA